ATACACATTCACACACCAATGCTATGCATCAGGAGCAATTTGGGGTTCAGTATCTTGCTCAAGGATACTTCGACATGTGGCAGGAGGAGCTGGAACCAACAACCTTCCGATTGGGGGACAACCCGCTCTGCCTCTGAGCCACAGCCGCCCATAGTGTAGTCCGTAGTCCGAGCACACAACTTCAGGTATTTTTTTTAATTTTTATTGAAATGCTCAATCACAGCTTCAGATGTTGTGGATGATAGTTTGGCCACTTCAAAGTATCTTAAAAAGTAGTCCATAATGATCAGGTAATATTTGTTTTCAATCTGAAACAGATCTGCTCCTACAGTGGACCATGGTGGGAACTCAGTAGGCATCATCGTTTCTCTGTGGTTTGTTTTCTTATGGCTAAAAGTGTCACAGTTCTCTATCATTTTTGTCAGCTCTCTAAGGCCTGGCCACTACACTGATTGTTTAGCTTTCTCTCTACATTTTGTTATTCCCAATAATGGCCCTCATGTAGCTTGGACAACACGTCTGCACTGAGTTCTCCTGGGATGACTATCCTGCTGTCATATTATAGCAGACTATTTTGGACTGTGAGCTCACCTGAGAATGGCAGATAGGGCTGGAACAGTCTTTTAATCAAGAACTTGTTTGACCATCCTTCAACACAGTACTTCTTTAACTGCTGTAGTATGGTGTCATCATCTTGGTGTCTCTGGATTTCAAAGGCTTGCTATGACAGAGTCAAGATACATGTTAATTTCCTCCTCCTTCTCAATCTTGGAATATTGCTGTTCAGTGCTGGTGTGGGCTCTCGAAGCATATGACACAGGTTTTCACTTGGTGTCTGCTTGCCGCTGGAGAAGCACGGCGCCCATCCCGTATGAGGATGATTCAGCAGAGATGAGTGTTTCAGCATTTGTGTCATACAATGCAAGCCCTGGGGGTGTTATCACTTCTTTAATGCTGTCAAAGGACCGCCGCTGTTGTAACCCCCAGGCCCACATGTTCGACTTTCTCGACAGGTCTCGTGAGCAGATGCGTTTTCTTTACGTTTGTCATATTTAAAGAAAAGTAAAAGAAGAAGAAGCTGTGATGAAAATTTTCACTGAAACGTTGATAAGTTAGTTCCAGCTTTAATAATACACAAAGATAACAGAGCAAGGTGAGTGCCTCAAATGCATTTATTATGAAAAATTAGACATCTTAAAGTCCACGTATTACAAACAGAGACTGTGACTATATAGTTTTTACGATTACCTCAAATCAGGTGGAAAATGTAAATTTTCTATATTCTGCTATGGGTATTTGAGAGATCATTGGTAAGTAATGTATTCAAAGGTTGGACAACTCTATCCGCTATTTTATTAAAAGATGTCAATTTTTAGCCGGTTCAAAAAACAGTGCTGAATATAATGGGATTGATTCAACAGGTATGCATTATGGATATGTGACAGAAAGCAGTAAAAATAACTGCACAGATCACAGGAAAAGCACAGTAACTCAGTTGATTCTTGGTTGACAGCAATCAACTGTTGCCTGGGCTCAATGCACATCTAAGAATTCTTCTGTGGCACCTTGATGGTCACCTGGCAACAGAGACAAAAAGGATTTCAGGATTTTAAGATGTAAAGAATATTTATTTATTTATTTTTAAGTATTTTCTGGGGCTTTTATTGCCTTTATGACAGTGACAGCTGAAAACAGACAGGAAAGGGGGGCAGAGAGAGAGGGGAAGGAAGCATTTAACATTTTAAGCCTTCTTTTAATCTTTACTTACTTTTCTTAAGTAGAGTAGTATAGTTAGGTTAAATTTTGCATGTTTTAAAAAAGTAGTTATACATTAATTAATATTAAATAAGTATACCTTTAAAGATTCATATCAGATTTGCAATAAGATTTTGTTGGCAGATTAATCTTCGCAACCTTGTGAAACCGAAAAAAGATCTAACCAGAGTAGTAGTTGAATAATGCATACAATACTTGACACACTAAAACAACATATCATTGCACATCCTATTTTGATTTTAATTTATTTTTTGGTAAGAAGAAGAAATGTAATATAGATCATATCATATTAATTGGGCTTAACACACTTCTTTTTAAGCTAATCTTGTTGCGCAGTTATTTAAGTTATTGTGTAAAAACAGAAAAGATAATCAAACTTCCACAGCAATACTGACTCTGGAGGTCTTGATTCAGAGCAATTCATCTAAGCTTAAAACATCTATATAAATGGTTTATTTCTAGTAATTACCGTTTTTATTTCTGTGTAGTTGTCAAGACCGTATTCTCCTAGCTCTCTGCCATTGCCTGAAGCTTTGTAACCTCCAAATGGAGCCTGAGCTCCAAACACGTCATAACAGTTAATCCTGCAGAGGAAAACACACAGATGACATTAATAATAAATAAAATCCAATGGTTAAAACATACATGTGGTAAATATGAACTTGTTGTAAAATGTATGGGAACCTCAACACTAGGTTACAACTCTGAAAATGGAACAATGAGTACCAATTTAAACATACAGGCCTTTGTCATTAGGGAGAAAATACTTTTTTTTTAACAAGAATGCTTTAAAATAGATTTTTTCTAAAATGATGCCTTCAAACGTGCAGCAACAAGGTATGCATATAAATATACACTAATCAGCCATAACAACTGATTGGGTGGGATATATTAAGCAGCAAATAAACATTTTGCCCTCATAATTGATGTGTTAGAAGCAGGAAAAATGGACAAGCTTAAGGAGCGACTTTGAGCAACTTTGACAATGTGATGGCTAGATGAAGCTCTTATGAGGTGTTCCAGTTCTGCAGTGGTCAGTACCTATCAAAAGTGGTTAGCCATCACAATTTAGCCCTTGCCAAAGACGCTCAAATCCTTACACTTACCCATTTTACCTGCTTCTAAAACATCATCTTTGAGGACTAAATATATCCCACCCACTGACAAGTGCCATGATAACGAGATAATCAGTGTTATTCACTTCACCTCTCAGTGGTCATAATGTTATGGCTTATCGTATAGCGCCTTTCTAGTCTTCCAACCACTCAGAGTGCTTTACACTACAAGTCATATTCACCCATTCACACACTGATGGCAGTGGTTGCCATGCAAGGTGCCAACTGTTTATCAGTAACTGAAACTAAGGGCATTCACACACAGATGGCACAGCATTAGGAGCAATTTGGGGTTCAGTATCTTGCTCAAGGACACTTAAGCACCACCCAAAGCATACATTAAAGTATAAAACAGTCTGCAGGGACTAACCCTAACCCTAGCGCATGACTGACGGGTTGCGCTGGCAACATTTGGCTCAAGAAGCGGACACAGATAAGTCAAATATATAAATGTTAAGCTCTGCTCCAAGGGATCTTCATCAGGGTCTTAATAATTTACACATCCACCATGGGATCTTCTATGAATGATGATGTCATTTTTCAAAAGAATTGATTGGTCAATAGGATGTGCTGTTTTAAAAATAAAAATAGTTTTTCTTACCTTAGATTGAGTCGTTTGTATCTACAGAGTGAGTGGGCCCTCTTCTACAGAGTCCGCCATGTTGAACTGCTATGTTTATTCCGTAGCCCATAACAAATAAACCAAACACTGGCTGCAGATAGGGCCCATCACGGCGACCATACTTTCGCCTACATGCTTGGAAATGGAAGGTTACGCGAGGGGCATGTAATCTGAAACTACACTGCCAGATGGCACCTTAATCCTACACACTGGTTTAAGTGTACGCTATATGTAGAATATTTACCATAGTGTCATATCTCTTTTCAATGCTGCCTTTGACAAATTCTACCTTGCACCTTGTTTTAAAAGGGTTAGTTTGATCCCAACTAACTTGTTAACTAATGAGCAAGGCAGCCATAGACCAGCAATTTATATGTTGTGCAAGTTAAAATTACTGGTTTTGTCAAAAGTGTCTGGGAGAGCACAGACTCAGTTCCCTTGTCAAAAAGGGCTGCCTGACAGCAAGGGGGGGAAATATTACAAATGCCAAAATGCATTTTGCTGTTGTCTTATCAGATAATGATAAAATAAATCTTATGTGAAAAAGTTTGCACTGACCAAACTGGGGCGCACAAAACTGTGGCGCAGAGGCAGAGTGGGTCGTCCCC